ATTTTCCCAATCTTTCAGTTTTGACTTTACCATCCAAGTCAGCAGAGGCCCAGAAGGCTTATTTTCAAGTTTCTGTCATAGCCACGTGAGCTAAGAAAGCTTGCTCCTCGTTTAAGTCTTTGTTCTGCTTTTCTCACTCAGCTCCTAGCTGGAGGGTCATCTTTGGTAGTGCATCTTTGCCGACACAAAGGCTAGGAAGTGTGGTGTCCCTCCCCAGCTCTTCTCATTAGCTAGCATAACCTAGATCATAGAAAGCTCCTGCTGGGATGGGCCTTCAGGGTCATCGAATGCACCCCCTCAGTTCACCAAGGTCAGCAACTAAATCCCAGAGATGTCAAGTGACTAGCTCAGGGTCACACAGTGAGCTAGAGGCAGAATTGAGACTCAAACATCGTTTTCTTGGCATCCAGTTTGGTGCTTTTCCTCCTCTGGCACAGTGAACTGGTGCTGCTGGCCCAGGGCTTAGCTGACAGATGGGCCCGCCCTGCTCTGGCTGATGCAGGATTAATGCAAAACTGAGCCTGTTTTTCAATCCCACTGCTGTGGTTTGACCAGCTGATCAAACCGAAAGTGCTCTGGCCAGATCAACCACTACCGTTTGTAATGAATGGAGCTGAAATTTAGTGTCTATAGTTTAGAGTGGGGCTGGCCCTGTAAGTTCTCCACTTGCTTCTAACTCTCTTCCACTCTCCACCTCAGCTCTCCAAGCATCTCCGCCACTGCCCTGTTATACATGATTCATAGCATCTCATTGCTGGTATCATTCGTTAGGGTTAAACACTGTCCTCTTCCTCCTCTCTTACAGGTTTCTTCTGGGAGAGGTCACGTGGACATGTCCCACTCCTCAATGTGACTAAATGGATCAGAGGTTTTCCTCTTCCAAGGGACCCCCACCAGGAGAGCACTGGAGAGGTGCGGAGGAAGAGTAAGGAAAGAAAGTGGATAAAGAAATGGAATGGGGGCAAAGCCAGCCTAGCTCACAATTAGGCCCGTGGCCAGCCACCTCTCATTAAATATGTGTATGTTGCTATTGTGGGAAACATAACAAAGCTCAAATCAAAGATATTCAATTCAAAAGGGAAGAAAAATGAACATTTACCAAAGGTCTACTTTTCCAGCAACTAGACTAAGCGCTCTCAGTAGATTATTTTAGTTAACTCGCATCACAAGCCATGAGGTAGCTATCATTAGACCCATTTTCATGGATGAGAAAACTGAGGGTCTGAGAGAACTCACAGAGCCCTGTTTAAATCCCAGAGTGATGTGCTTTCCAAACCTATGCTCTCTCCTTTTTCAAAAAACTCATTGGAGCCTGGATTCCTCTTTACCCCTAAACCAGCTTTTGGAAGGTACCCAGTCAGGCAATTTTATAAGAGCAGAAACTGAAGTGACTGTCACAGGACCAGAGTCTGGCCTGCTGCTTATGGTTGCCAGGTCTCGGCTTACCATCGCTTGAAAATCCCTCCTTTCACCAGCAGCGAGAAGTGGGAGGTTCCCTGTCAGTGAAATGGTGGGAGTCCCTCATCAGGAGAAGGGCTTATCTTGCCTTTGCAGCATACATTCATTTAGTATACACATCACCCCGATGTTATTCTCCTCTTTCAATTTCTTGAGCCCCATGTTTTGTAAGGTTAAACAAATAAAACTCAATGTTTTGTGGGAGGAAAATAGATGACTGTTGAGAGTGATATGTATAACACACTCCACCTGTTTATAATATTAAAGCTTGCATTTCAGAACTGTGCTTTCATTAAATACTTCTGCTCATTCAGTTTAGAGACACATAAAAACAGAAACGAATTTACTCGATAGTTTGCATGCCTTCAATCTTTGTGATAAAACTCACCTATTATTGAGAGTATGGGCATTTAAAAAAAATTAGCAACAGCTGGAAAGACAGGGTTGCGGAGAATGCTCAGGATAAGCAGAAGAGCATATTTCCTTAGTGTTTTATGCTTTATATAAAGAGTGCCAGCACTTTCTTTGACATCAAGTTTTCACTGTTTCTGTTCCAGTTTGAACAGGGGACCCTGCTGTCACCCCTGTAACATTGGTCCCGAACAAGTTCAGCTGCTGATTGCCTGGTGGGACCCAACGATGTGAGTGTCACAGAAAGCATCAACGACTAGGCCTATGGTTTTCCCCCACGATGAGGTGTGGAGGGCTTGGCAGCACTTTGGCCCTTGAGGAAGACGAGAAAGCACGTGACTTAGAATATTAGAAGAGGAAAGTACCCTTTGAATCACAACATCAACTTTGCCTTCTTACAAATAGGGCCGCTGAGCCCAAGAGTGAGCAAATGCCTTCCGCACAGTCATGCAGGGTCTCATCAGTGGCAGAGTCGAGACAACAACCCAGGTCTCTGGACTTGCAGGCTGGCGCTGGTGCTTTTTCAGCTACCTCCTGCTCTCCTCAGACTACAGCACCAAATGTGTGTCTGAGGGTACACTGCTTAGTATGCGAGCCAGGCTGACCTTTATGCTCCCAGAATCATCAACCATTTGTGGGAACCATGGAAAGATGGTTCTGGAAAAATAAAGAAAAGTGTAACACACTTTGGAGACAACCAGAAGCCCTGCTCAGACTGCAGAGTCCTCATCTTCCAAGTACTGAATCCCAAATATATATACAAGCAGCAACTCAGGTTGGTCTAAGAAATAAGGAGATGGAAAACCAAAGGCCTGACAATTCAGCCAGTTCTCTTCCTCTTTTGCCCCCTTCCCCAATCTCCAAAATCGGGCTGATTTATAGAGTGTGAGGACCTTGGTTACTCAGTTCCTGAGAGGAACCAGCTCCCAGGAGGTGGCCCAGTGCAGGACTGCAAGAGGCCTTGGAACTTCCTGCCAAGGCCCAGGCCTGGCCTCAGGAGAACATGGCTCTTGGGACACGCGTAGGAAGAATTCCCTTTCCCTCTTCTTAGCGTCTCTTCACCCAAGCAGGGCTCCTCTGAGACTTGTGGGATCCCCTGCTCTCCCCAAAGACAGTTTTTTTTCCACTTTTAGGAACCCTAAAAGTGGAAATGTGATACATGAAATACATCATGAGACTTTCATTTCTTTCTTTTTCTTACAGCACGGGGGCGGGGGAGAAGAAAGGCTTGGAAATGCAAATGTCCTCCAGTGAGCTGGTGGACGTATTCACACCAGAATGTTAGTGACATATTAGAGCTCAGAAACTGGACTTTACAGCTCCATCTTGTACCTTCTTTTGCTCTGCAACTACCAACCTGACTGCCCCTTTCTCTGAGAGTTGGGCTGTGAGTGTGTGTGCAGGTGTGTACACACCCAGGTGCGTATGTGTTCCTTTTCATGACCTAAATGAGTACATTCTGATTGTTCCCTGTACTGGTTACCACCCCCCACCGCCACCCAAGTCCGTTTCCCATATTCCAATCCCACTAAACCCACTTAGAGTAGAAACTCCAGAGTTAGTTGCTGGGGACATGAATGTGTGACCCACCTGTTCCAGAAGTGTTTTTCTGGGGACCCACTAAATGCCATTATAATGGTGTAACGGCAGAGGGCTCCTCATACGGCACCATGAGGAGAGCCACCTACTGGACAGACTAAAGACGTTGACTGCAGGTGGCCAAGGAGAAGGCAGAGACAGCTGGGAAGCTGAGCTCCTGGGCCACCCCCATGGCTTCTCAGTCCCCCGGCTCACACCCTCACCCGCCCCCAGGGGGAGCAAGCATATCCTACAAGCCTCGGGGGATCAGGGAAGCTCTCGCGGAAGTCAAGAGGTCTACCTTGTAAGTTGCTGCATCGGGCTCTTTAATACAAGTTCATCAGTCAGAGTGTCCCCCTGGAGCCCTGGGGCAGGTGAAATACCTGAAATGCAGGACTCCCCCAAATCCCTCATGCCTGCAGCCAGACAAAGGGTCACTGTCCCCAGTAGGTTTGGGAACACATGGATGTTCAGCTAGGACTTGGAAGTCCGAGCAGAGGTCGGGGCAGGGGGCACAGCTGTGAAATCGCCTGAGAAGGGCCCGTTCCTTAATTGGCCTGTGACTCAGTTGGCACATCTGAACTTAGAGGGCAGCTAAACACAGCCTCGCATTTGGAATTGACCAAAGGTCGTCCTCACAGTGACCCAGATGGTCAAAAAGGAGGAATTAGTCCTATTTTATGGAAGAAGAAACTGAGGCTCAGAAGGGGCAAGTGATTATCCCAGGGCTGCCCAGCCAGAAAGTGACAGATTCTTAGGGTTCCTAGACCAGTACTTGCTGCTTCACTGCACAGAGAGAACAGAAGAGGGATGGAGCAGAGCTCAGCGAGGGACCAAATGTTCTGAGGGAGAGATACTGGGAGAGCCTGTCTCTGGAGGTACTTGCCCCCACCCCAGGACTCAGCTCACTGTCTCCCTCCCAGCCCTAACAGTGCTGCTCGGAAACACCGCTGCCACCCGTGCCCCTTCTGCAGCAGTGGGACTGGACAGAATGTGCACTCATTCTCGGAAACATCTGTTCCCAATACGCAGCAGGCTCCACCTGATCAATCAGATGGGAACAGTCTGAGTCCTGAGTCCCCGGGGACCTTGTCTTGAAGGGATATCCCTCCTTTCCTTGCTAATTGTTACACTCCTGGTCCTGCAGCCGGAAAGAGCCTTTAGGACACCCAGGCTTGAGGATGGTCTGCACCTATTTATTAGAGTAGGTGGTGTCAGGAAATGGGTGAATGGTGCCTGGTTTCCTGCGTTCAAACCCTGCGGCTCTGCTGTGTGACCTTGGGCACATCCCTTCCCCTCTCTGGGCCTCAGTTTCCTCATCTGTCACATCACCTTGATTAGATGGTGCCACTCTGATGTAGTATTTAGTCATATATCTTTCCTTCAATAAACCTTGTATGAGTGAAGCCTTCCTGGAGGCACCGGGCTTGACGCCACGGATTCAGCAAGAAGAGAGGCGGAAGGGCGAGTCTCTGCTCCGAGAAAGCTCAGATTCCCATTCTGGAACGTTTTTTTTGGTCATGCTTCTTCTTCACGCTGACTTACCTTTTCAGAAAATGCCCACGCTTCCGTTGGAGAATGGAAATTGGCAAAGAGATGGGGAAAAGGTCCAGTTTGCACCTTTGCTATTTTAGGGGAGGTTGAAATTACGAGCCAAAGTGGAGTGATGCGCTCACTGGAGTGATCTCCGTTCCTCAAGACGGGAGAAAACCTAGGTCCTCTGCTTGTGAAGTGGCTCGAGCTCTTCGGCGCGAGGCATTATTACATAAATTCAAGCTCGCTCCTGATCCTTAGTACCCTGAGTTGCCTGAAGGGGGGAATGGCACTGCCTGCGTGTGCAGCCCGGGCGCTGAGGCCGCCGCTGCAACCGGAGCGAGGAGCGCCCGCCCGCACCACCTGTCCCCGCCGGCATTCCAGAGTAGAGGCCGAATTGGCAGCAAGCCGGCCCGGATCAGTCGCCGCCTCAGTCCGCGCGGGCCCTCCTAGGGGTGTGTCTCGCGGATTCAACTCCCAGCCGCTCCTGGACGAGCCCCTAAAGGCGTCTTCCTCCCTGGCGGGAGCCGCGCACGCCCCTCTCTTCGCGCTGCTGCCCCGAGGCCGCCGCAGGCGGATGCACGACCTCAGGAGACGCTGGGACCTGGGCTCCCTCTGCCGGGCCCTGCTCACTCGGGGCCTGGCCGCCCTGGGCCACTCGCTGAAGCACGTGCTCGGTGCGGTCTTCTCCAAGATTTTCGGCCCCCTAGCCAGGTACGTTTTAGGTGAAAGCGGGACTCGCGCTCCCGGGCCAGGGTGCGCAGGAGCCGTGCGGGCAGGGAAGGCAGCACCGAGGGGAGGGAAGAGCGCAAAGTTCCAGCTGGCCCGCGGCGGCCGGACTCGGAGGCTCTGGAGGGGCGAGGCGCGCATTTGGCCACGCTGCGGCTCCCTCCTCGCCGTTCCGCGGGCACCGGCAGCGCAGCGTCTCCGCTTGCAAGTCAGGGTGCCGGCGAACTCCTTCCCGAACTCCGCACGCCCGGCTCCGAGCTCACTCCAGGGAGCCTCCAAGGTGGGCAACCGGGTGCGGGCAAGAGCAGGGCTTCGGGGCGCATGGGAAGGGAGATCGCGAGTCGAGCAGGCGGGGAGGCGGCGGCGTGCGCGCCAAGGGGACTGGGGCAGAATCGCCGAGGAGAGTCCGGTGGGCGAAGTGGGGTGGGGATGGGAGCCACCGAACGTGGAGCAAGACGCACGGGGGCTTGGACCGCGGGTGTGAGTTGGGGCGTGCGGCAAACGGGGCAGGCGGGGTCCCGCGGGTACGAAACCTCGCGAAGCGGCTCTAGAGAGCTCCGGCTCGGGGAGAGGGCGGGCGGCCAGCGGGAACGAGTCAGGGGGGTGGGGTGGTGCGGCAGAAGCAACAGCGCTGAGCCTGCCGGGAAGGAAGGAAGCGGGGAAGGGCGCCGCCGCCGCCGCCGCCGCGGTGGAGTACTCGGTGCGGGGGGGAGGGGGAAAGGGGCGCAACGGCGGCGCCAGGGGGAGGGGGCTGTGCCGGCGCACGGCGAGCGCGGGCTGAGCTGCGGGATTGACGTAACGAGCTTGGGTTTCCCCCAGCGTCGGGAACATGGATGAGAAATCCAACAAGCTGCTGCTGGCTTTGGTGATGCTCTTCCTATTTGCCGTGATCGTCCTCCAGTACGTGTGCCCCGGCACAGAATGCCAGCTCCTCCGCCTGCAGGCATTCAGCTCCCCGATGCCGGACCCGTACCGCTCGGAGGATGAGAGCTCCGCCAGGTTCGTGCCCCGTTACAATTTCAGCCGCGGCGACCTCCTGCGCAAGGTAGACTTCGACATCAAGGGCGATGACCTGATCGTGTTCCTGCACATCCAGAAGACCGGCGGCACCACTTTCGGCCGCCACCTGGTGCGCAACATCCAGCTGGAGCAGCCGTGCGAATGCCGCGTGGGTCAGAAGAAATGCACTTGCCACAGGCCGGGTAAGCGGGAGACCTGGCTCTTCTCCAGGTTCTCCACGGGCTGGAGCTGCGGGCTGCACGCCGACTGGACCGAGCTTACCAGCTGCGTGCCCGCGGTGGTGGACGGCAAACGCGACGCCAGGCTAAGACCATCCAGGTGAGTGTCCACCCGCGGCGGAGCCGGGCCCTGGAGCTCCAGATCGGACCTTGGCCTGGGCGGGCTGAGGGCGGGGAGGCGCGGCCGGCCGTTGCTGGAGACCCAGAGCGCACCTCAGCACCCCGGCGGTTGCGCCCCAGCTGGGCGGGTGCCAGGTGCCCTGGCGCGCAAGCTCACGGTGCTGTGGCGGCTGCAGGAAGCCTGTCCGCTCCCCCCCGGGACAGCTCGTCTGTCTGTCCGCGGGTTCGCCCACTTGGTGGCTGGGAGTGCGTTCGGGGTAAGCGGACGGGAGTCCCCGAATAAGCGCCCCTCGGCCGCCGCCGGGACCGGGTACCGCACGTAGACTTCTCACTGGAGCGCCCCAAAGAACCGCGCTCTGCGTGTAGCGTCCCTGAGTCCCTCCTGTCCTCTCTCTTTTCTGCAAACCCCGGTTCCCAACCCTCCTTTCCGCTCTGTCTTCCTCTTTCCCCCTCCCGCATTCTCTTCCCCGATTTTTTTCTCGATTCCTATATTTGCCTCTCTCTCTTTCTCGTGCTCCTGATCTTGTCAGTTCCTGGCCACTCGCTCTTTCCTTCTCCCTCTGTTTTCCTCTCTCACTTTGTTTCTCTTTCTTTCTGTTTTACCCTTTCTGTTTTTTCTCTTTCTGACTGACTTTTGTCATCTCTCTTCTCCTTTCTTCCTTCTGGCTCTGCTCTCCTCGGGAGAGGGGGTGTCCCTCTGCCATTGTTTGTGGACACCCGGAGAGAGCTCGTGGTCCCCAGCTTGTGCCCCTCACTACTGGCTGCACGCGAGGCATCCGTGGCGCTTTGCGAGTGCAAGGGGCCCCCCGTGGACCGAAGGGCGGGCTGGGACGCTGTCCCGGACCCTATGTGGTGTTCAGCCGTGAGAAACCGCTCCAGATTTACAAACCCTGAGCCCCAGCGTGGGGCGCCAACAGCCCACTTGCTGGGAACCTGAGGCTGATGCGGAAAAAGCTGATTTATGAAGAGCCTGTAGCTAGTTGCTTTTGAAGCTAAGGCATTTTCCTCCATCCAGCCACAATGCCCAGTTGCTGGAGGTCATGGAGTGCCATAAAGGGGTGGGGGAGCAGAGTGCATTGGGGTGCAGTTGCTCCAGCCAGGGCTATCATTCTGCCAGTCTCCCTAAAACAAATCTGGGCTGGGGCAGAGAGTCCAGCGAATGGCCAAGTGAGTCTAGTTGCCAGGGGGCATCTAGATTGGGTCTCTGGGCAGGCAAGGACATGGCTGCTCGTTCTGCCTCCCCATGGAGGTGACCACAGGTCCCTTTGAGGCTGCTGCTGCAGCGACTACCTGCCTGGACCCTCTCCCAAACTCCCCCCTCCCCTGCAACCCTCTGTGTCGGGGGTACTCTGTGCCCTGGACTAGGCAGCGCTTTGCAGGTGTCTCATGGAATGCAACAGCTGGTGCAGTTTCTTCTGTCCAGCCGCAGGCAAATGGAGCCCCCTGACTTTCTGGTCACCCTTGAGATTTAGAGGAAGCGTCACTCCCTACTCACTTTCACTTTACTGAGTTTACAGTGTCCTTTCTTGAATGCTGCAATTCTGGCAGAATCTGTTGAACTTTCATTTCCTTTCCAGCGTTAATAGATTTTATTTTTCCATCTAAGAGAATCTTGGCCCCAGGAAGGTTGCTGCCTCAATCCATTGTAAGAATTGTGTAGGTCATTGTCAGCAGAAGGTTCTGGTGTTTAAGAAGATCCCAAACAACTTGGCAATGTTGAAAATAAGCTCTCTTAGAGATGGAGCTTGTAGGTGTAGTGAGGGGTGGTGATATAAAAAGCTCTTTAGGGCAAAAATAGAATTCCATAGCCATGACGGGGGCAGAGAAGGAAAAATGAGATCTTGGCAACTATGGAAGCCACAGCCCTGTCTAGAGTTCCACAGGGCACATATGCCTTTTAAAATCATTCTGGACATGTAGGTCAGGGTGTGACATGGTTTATAAACACACATTATTAATGTGGCCTGGATTATGTATTTGGTGGCTGCTGTCCTCTGCCAGATTCCTTCAGAAATTTTTTTTAAGACAACCAGGACTCTTCAAGGGGAGGGTTCAACCTCTGGGATTGTCCCAAATTGAAGCAAAATTATTTGAAATGACACGAGATTTTCTTGGTCATAGAAAGGGTGATACTACAGTGCCATCTAGTCTAGTCAAAGAAGAACCGCTTTTTAAAGAGTCAGAGTTACTGGATCTTACAATATTTGCAAAAATGAAATAAAATTTGCTATAGAAACACATTGCTACATCAAGGGCACCTTTTTATTTCATTCTTTCCTACCCACCTCCAGAAATCTTCGTCTTGAAGAATAGTGATACCCTGAGGGTTCCAGAATTTCCCAGGGTATTGACAAATCCCTGCTTGCAGGACCAATTCTTTTAGTTCTGATAAACTGTTAAGAGTGAAGGTATGCATAAGTGTGTGAGCGAGAGAGAGTGTGTGTGTATACGTGTGTGTGAATGTGTATGTGTGTGGTGAAGATTTAGAGACGGAGGCAGCTGCGCTGGCAGTGATGCCTGAGGGTGAGGAGCCGGTCTCACGAGATGAGAGAGTCAGCCATCAGGAGTTCCTGTGTAGAGCAGCCTTCCATGCCAGCTGGAGGTCTCTGTGCTCCACTGAACTGAGAGGAACAGCGGCTCCGTCTGATTGGCCTGGGAGTTCCAACACCTGGGCCTTAGTTCCAGGCCAGCCACGAACCAGCTATGTGACCTTGGACCAGAGCCTGTCCAAGCCGTGTACGTGTGGAGAGTGCATTCCAGTTTCTGATGAGCTTTCACATCTCTTATCTCTGGTATTTCTCTGTAAACTCGCACTATCTTGGGGAAGAGGGCAGAGTGGGCAAAAGTATCCCCATTTATCAGATGAGAGTGAAGCCCAAAGGGCTGAAGGACTTTCCCAAGGTCATTGAGTTCTTTAGTGGCACAGCAGAAATCTTACACCAGTTCTGTCTGATTCGCAGCTCTGGCTCTGTTGACTGCCCCTTGGTGAACGAGGGTTTTTATAAAAACACAGTGAGGGGGCCGGCCCTGTGGCTTAGCAGTTAAGTGCGCGCGCTCCGCTGCTGGCGGCCCGGGTTGGGATCCCGGGCGTGCACCGACGCACTGCTTCTCCGGCCATGCTGAGGCCGTGTCCCACATACAGCAACTAGAAGGATGTGCAGCTATGACATACAACTGTCTACTGGGGCTTTGGGGGAAAAATAAATAAATAAATAAAATTATAAAAAAAAACCAACACAGTGAGGTATTTTATGTTAGTAATTACCACAAAGTAAACACTCAGTAAATGTTAGCTGATGTTGTTATCACCTACATCGTCACCACTTTCAGTAATTTTACACATGTGAGTTTGGACGAGAGATTGGATCAGGGTTGCCACACCCATTTGGAGAAAAACAAATTTCTACCTCCCTGAGGCTTTACGCTCACCAGGAGTAGGTCTCGTGGCTAGGTTGCAGAGGGGCCTCTCCTTGCCGTGTTGGAAATCACTACAAAGCTGAGCAGGATGGGAGGACACTGGGGGCCTGGTGAATGAGCCTCAGTAGGAGCCCTCAGCAGCAACAAGGGCCACCTTCTGACTCACAGCCATCCATCCACATTAGTGGCCACATGAGAGGCCATCGTGGCTGCAAGCCAAGGCCCCGAATTCGAGATACTTCCCTGCCTCAGCGGATGGTAAAGTGCTTGGGTGATATATAACTGCTGAATAGAAACGATTGTGATCACGTTGCCTGGAGAGGACAAAGAGAGAGAGTGCTTGGCTGGCAAAAGGCTCAAGTTGTTTATTAAGAATAATATTTCTTTAAAAAAGACTAGAAATTGCATTTCATGCGTCTGTCTGGCACTATGTTGTTTGGGGTCAGAGAAGGGTCCTGTTCATTCTAGAATTTCTAGGACCATTTTTGAAAATGTATCAAAACATTGTTGCTTACCTGCTGTTAAAACTCCCAAATTCTGCAGGCTTTTCTCAGGCCAAATTCTCTCTGTTTGTAGCCAAATCTAGTGCACCACTTGGTCTGTGGGAGGAATTCAGAATAGGGCACAAAGAAATTGCACTAGCCTCATTCTTCTTCACCAGGTACCATGCTGGCTGGCACACACAGGGTGGCTGATGGGGTGGAGGGGAGATCAGGTTCTATGGCTATACATGTCAAAGAATCTGATCATCATATTCATGTTGCATCCTAGACTTTTCCAGCAGCCATACGGAAGAGTAATTAATTGTCATCTAAAATCCAGTAGGATATCACTGACAGGAAAGGACTAAAAGGCATTTACATGGAGAAAAGCTTGCTTTCTTTTTTTCCTTTTTGGTCATTCCTTTTTAAAAATTGTGGTAAAGGCTTTCTTTTCTTTCCATTTCTTTTTTAAAAGGTGGCTCTATTTTGAAAGAACTATGTCTTAGTAAGAACTCCACAGTGCATGTGCCTGCTCATGCCTCCTGTGCCCCTGCTCCCACTCCTTCCCTTTCTGGATTTTTCAGTGAAGCCGGATGGCATGACAGGCTTATGGTACAGGGTGAGGCAGTGAGTGAATGGACTGTTACAGCCAGCAATGCTGTCCCTCTGGTCCAACAGGCTGTGGGACACTGGGCTCTCACAGGGGTAGCTTCACTTAGCCGAGGATGAATTTCTTCAGCTGTGTTTGATAAGAGCTGTTATACCTTCCCACCTATTTCACGGGAGAGGGGGAAAAATTCACCACAATAACATCTGTAGAACTTCAGCAGTATTAGTTAGCATCTTTGCACAGATGGCGAACATGTTGGAAAAAGCTCTAAGTTCTCAAGGTAGTATACCATTTCTTAATAGTAATTTTAGATTAGTGCTGTCATGTGGCAAGAAGAATGTCGGAGCTTGTCTTTTATCGATATATGTCATGAACTTAGGTAGTATGAAATGACAGTAAAGAATAGTCATCTCTTCCATCCATTAGTCATTAAACAATATTTTGTGAAACTGCCCATTATATTCCAGGGGA